AAATCACATCTTCTCAATGACACAGGATCCAAGAAGACAGTTTCTTTGACTAATGTCTAGACTTTTTGATTTGAAAGAAACTTATATTTCTGGTCTATAGTTTAAAACAACTACATCCTTTGAAAAACCCAATAGTTATTTAAGGAACAGAATTCTGCTAATAATTACTTCTGACATTACCTACCTTGATGGCAAACATCTTGAAAATCAGAGTGAAAAAAATCTGCGGAGTCATTGATGTGGTTTATCTCTGTGTCTACACACAAATCTCACAATGAATTGTATTTCCCAGTGTTGCAGGTGGGGCCTGGTGGGAGGAGATTGGATCATGGGTGTGGTTTCTAATAGCTTAGCACCATCCCCCTAGTGCTGTCTTGTGATCGAGTTCTCAGGAGATCTGGTTGTTTAAAAAGTGCATGGCACCTTCCCCCTTCTCTCTCTCTCTCTCCTGCCACCTTGTGAAGAAGGTGCTTGCTTCCCCTTCACTTTCCGCAATGATCGTAAGTTTCCTGAGGCCCCCCAGCACTGCTTCTGTACAGCTTGCAGAACTGTGAGTCAATTAAACCTCTTTTTTGCACGAAGTACTCAGTCTCTGGTAGTTCTTTATAGCCATGTGAGAACAGACTAATACAGTCATTTTTATGACTCTAAATAGTTTTGCATAATGTATTCCCCTAATGCATTCATGTGAATGTATGTGTGTGTATTCACTGATATCTACCTTTTAATAGCAATATATTAGCTTAACTAGTTCTATTGATTATCATAGATGCCATTAAATAATTGGGTGATATATAAGTACAAGATATTGACATGCTAGGAAACTTCTCCCCTAATTTCTTTCTGCTTGCAATTCATGTTAGCATATAACCTTCTCTTTTCCTTAATTCATAATGACATTTTAAAAAACATTTGTTTTTTAACCAGTTCTGTAATATTACATGCCTCTACTTTATATCTAAATACTTCTATATTAGTAAATAATCATTGCTTCTAAACAGTTTTTAAATATATACATGGTTATAGTCTACTTAAAAAAAACTTTTAGTGTATTTAAAAGCAGAGATGAGAAATATGGCTGTACAGCTTTGTTGAATGATTTGGAAGTTTTCTCCCAAATGGCTTTATTTCTCACTTAACTTCTCAGTTTCATTTCTATATTATTTCAGAAGTAGCAATGAGAATGCCTCATGTGAAGTGACAATGTCAAAATTACATAAAGCAGAAATATAATGTTTGCTTTTTATTAGATAGTACAAGGTAGTGATATTGACTACCTAATATAACAATGTCCAAGTAAATAAAAATAAATGTTATTACCTAGCTCTTAAAGTTTTATGTGTAAAGACAACTATCTCTAAAGTCATGAACAATAAAGGTAAATTTCTAAAGCAATTGTAATTTTACTTCAAAGGAGGCATTCCAGATTGTTAATGGAAATATTTTTCTCAATTATTTGAATCCAGAGGAACTCAACAATGGCCATGAGACTCTTTATTTAAGGGTAAAACCTTAAATTAAGTCACCAGATTGATCTCTGTTCAATTCATGTACATCTGCATTGAATACAATACTATCATTAAATTACTTAATCAGAAACACATGGATTAAACAGGGATGTATGAGAACTTTAATAAAAAATGATTATGTGTTGAGTTATAATCCTGGATTGACTTAAAATGATGAATCGTTTTTTACCCCAAGTGGCTTAGAGACGTCACAGAGGAATTTTGATTGGCTTATACATCACCTACTGTTCTGTTGGGATTCTCTGTGCACTGAAATTCCCTGGATTTCAAGGATCAAGGCTGATCCACAAAGACTCAATCCCTTATTGACACTGATGATAACTAATGTTTGGTGTTGGGGTGGAGATGGGTGTTCTGGGGGTACAAGACCCAGCCTGTCATGACCCCCAGGCTGAGTGCATCCTGTCATGTCCAGAACAAATCTCTCCACCTCATGATTCCATCATCTGATCTCTGAATGCTTACCTGTGCCCCTCTTGGTGAGATCTGGGGACCTCAGATCACTCTGCCTTCTTTTGCTACATGCTAATGTCATGAGTTTGCCTTTTCATAGTATAAACCATACCTTTTAGCCAGGGCCACTGAGTATGACACAATTCATGATGATGGCCTCATATGCATGACCTTGGTCAAAATCCACAGAAATTCTGTTTAGCCTCACTCCTATAATGGTGAACAAGCAAAAGCTTTCATTACTGTTTTCTGCCTTGTTTAGCTGTGATTCCACGAAATCAAGTTGACCTTTCAAATCTCTTCTAGGTTTGATACCTTTCTCTGTATTATCAAACCCTGACACTTTTCTATCCTCTCACATGTTAATTTCCTCACTAGAGCCATACGTTTCTCTCCATTTATACTCCCATTTAGGGTCATTCCATAATGACTGGACCATCCATGTGTATTGGGCAACATAGTGAGATCCCGTCTCTACAAAAAATAAAATAAAAAATTAGCCAGGCATAGTAGCACACACCTGTAGTCCCAGCTACTTGGGAGGCTGAGGAGGAAGAAGATTGCTTGAGTCCAGGAGGTTGAGGCTGCAATGAGCTGTGATTATGCCACTGCATTCCAGCTTGGGTGACAGAGCGAGACCCTGTATTTAAAAAAAAAAAAAAAAAAAGAGAGAGAGAGAGAGATAGAAAGGGAGTGAAATCTTTCAGTGTTGGTTTCCACTGTGAAATATGCATTTAAATGGCCACCGAATTCATGTCTTTATCCTAATTTCTGTATTCATAATGGGGTTTGGATTGAACTTTTGGAGGTTTGATAGCAAAATGATGATATTACTCTGTATCTATTGTTGTCCGTATGACATAAAGCAAATAATTTGACTATTATTTTCCCACTCCCTTTCCATTAAGTTGACTGTTTTTAAAACATAGTAGATTGGCTTGATTATATATTGATTTCAAGTAGGTAATATAACACTATGATAAAATAGATGGCAACAGCACAGTAGAATCATAGAAGCATAGGCTTGCAAAGCATCCAGTAACTTCCACGTGTCACAAATTTGAAGAAACCTTACATAGCCATATCTTATGGTAACATCTTTTAATTAATATGTTCTTAAACTTAAATAACACAATGATATGAATGAGAAACCAGCAGGACTGTACAATGGAGACAATTTCTTAGCTTTAGATTGTACGTCTTATTGTTCTTAGTTGAGGCATGAAGAGTTCCCAGGAAACTTATATGATAAATGATAGAAAAGGACCCCCTTGTAGGAATCCTGGAGGTGAGAGTATGGTGAATTCAAGGAGGGAAAATCCCAGCTTGAGATAAACAACATATAGCAACTTATAATGTCTCTCTCTTTATATGTTTGCATATATATATAATTGTAAAATGCCTGTATATTCTGGGAAAATTTTAAGTTAAAGGAGTTCTGTCAAGGTGAATGCAAGTCAAGAATTCGCTGTATGTCATGTGGCTAGAATTATAGAGGCAGAAATTTGTTCCACAGTGAAGGAGAGAAAAATAAACACCTAAGCTCAAGATGGTTTAGAGCTCCAAAAGTTGTGTGTGTGTGTGTGTGTGTGTGTGAAAGAGAGAGAGAGAGAGAGAGAGGAAACAGAAATAAAGAGAGAAAAAGGAAAAGAGAGACAAAGAAAGGGAGAGAGAAAAAGGAAAAGAGAGGCAAAGAAAGAGAGAGAGAGACAGGGAAAAAGAGAGAGAAGGAGAAAATGATAGAGACAGAGAGAGAAAGAGAGTGGGAGAGAGGGACAGAGACAGAGAAAAGGAGAGAGAAAGACAGAGAGAGAAAAAAATCAAGAGGGGAGACAGAGACAGAGAAAAAGTGAAAGAGAGACAGAGAGCGAAAAATAAAGGGAGAGACAGAGAGATAGAGAGAGAGACACAGAAAGAGACACAGAGAGAGACAGAGACAGAGGGATATAAAGAGATCTGGATTATTCTGAAATCTATAACCTTTCACTAACAAATATTTTAGAATGTATCAAAACAATGTATCAAAACATTATGACAAGTATTGAATATTTTATTCCCATACCATATATCCAAAATAATAAAACTCAAAAGACTAAGAATCTGCTTTAAAAAATATATAGGCTAACTCTATTTTCCCTGGTGAGAAAACTGTTGTGGATTTTTTTCTTTCCACCCTAAATCTAATGAGATTCTTTGCATGTATGGAAATGCAGTAATTTGGCATGGAGTTCTACATTGTTAATAATTTTAGTGGTGGAGTATGTTTCCATTCATTTTTTGTTTGCTTCTTCTCTAACAAAGCATAATAGATAGAGTGGCTTTTAAACAACAGGCATTTATTGCTCATAGATCTAGAGGCTGGAAAGTCCAAGATCAAGTAATGGCAGATTCTGTGTCTGGTGGGGACCTGCTTCCTGGTTCATAGATGGTGCCTCCTCACTGTGTCCTCACATGGTGGAAGGGTCAAGGAAGCTCTCTGTAGTGCCTTTTATAAGCGCAGTAATCCCATCTGTGAGGTTCCACACTCATGACCTCACCACCTTCCAAAGACCACGCCTCCTAACACCATCCCCTTGGGGGTGAGGGTTTTAAGGTAGGAATTTTGCAGGAACGTTGATATTCAGACAATAGCAATATTTAATGATATAAATAGTGGCCCCAGATCAAAGAGCCCTGGGGAGCCAGGAGAGTATGAAGCACATGCCACATTAAGGATTAAGTGGGTCAGGCAGGATGGCTCACACCTGTAATCCCAGTACATTGGGAGACGAAGGCAGGAGGATCTCCTGAGCCCAGGAATTTGAGAATGCATAGGGAACATAGCAAAACCTTGTCTCTATAAAAAATGCAAAAATTAGTCAGTCATTGTGGTGAACGTCTGTGGTCCCAGTTACATGGGAGGCTGAGGCAGGAGGATCGCTTGAGCCAGGGAGGTGGAGGCTGCAGTAAGCCAGTGAGCCATGATCATGCCATTGCATTCCAGCCTGGGTAACATAGTGAGACCCTTTCTAAAAAAAAAAAAAAGAGTCCGCCACCATCTTGCTTTCCTATAATCCGGCAGTGACCGTGGGTCAGAACAGTCTTGAATCATGAAGCTACTAACCAGAGCTGGGTCCTTCTCGAGATTTTATTCTCTCAAAGTTGCCCCCAAAGTTAAAGCCACAGCTGCGTCTGCAGGAGCACCACCACAACCTCAGGACCTTGAGTTTACCAAGTTACCAAATGGTTTGGTGATTGCTTCTTTGGAAAACTACGCTCCTGTATCAAGAATTGGTTTGTTCATTAAAGCAGGCTGTAGATGTGAGGACTCCAACAATTTAGGAACCACTCATTTGCTGCGTCTTGCATCTGGTCTGATGACTAAGGGAGCTTCATCTTTCAAGATAACCCGTGGAATTGAAGCAACTGGTGGCTTATTAAGTGTGACTGCAACAAGGGAAAACATGGCTTACACTGTGGAATGCCTGCAGGGTGATGTTGATATTCTAATGGAGTTCCTGCTCAATGTCACCACATCACCAGAATTTCGTCACTGGGAAGTAGGTGACATTCAGCCTCAGCTAAAGATTGACAAGGCTGTGGCCTTTCAGAATCCACAGACTCATGTCATTGAAAATTTGCACGCAGCAGCTTACCGGAACGCCTTGGCTAATCCCTTGTATTGTCCTGACTATAGGATTGGAAAAGTGACACCAGAGGAGTTACATTGCTTCGTTCAGAACCATTTCACAAGTGCAAGAATGGCTTTGATTGGACTTGGTGTGAGTCATCCTGTTCTAAAGCAAGTTGCTGAACAGTTTCTCAACATGAGAGGTGGACTTGGTTTATCTGGTGCAAAGGCCAAATACTGTGGAGGTGAAATCCGAGAACAAAATGGAGACAGTCTTGTCCATGCCGCTCTTGTAGCAGAAAGTGCTGCCGCAGGAAGTGCAGAGGCAAATGCATTTAATGTTCTTCAGCATGTCCTCAGTGCGGGGCCACATATCAAGAGGGGCAGCAACACCACCAGCCATCTGCACCAGGCTGTTGCGAAGGCAACTCACCAGCCATTCGATGTTTCTGCATTTAATGCCAGTTACTCAGATTCTGGACTCTTTGGGATTTATACTATCTCCCAGGCCGCAGCTGCAGGAGATGTTATCAACGCTGCCTATAATCAAGTAAAAACAATCGCTCAAGGAAACCTGTCCAACACAGATGTCCAAACTGCCACGAACAAGCTGAAAGCTGGATACCTGATGTCAGTGGAGTCTTCTGAGGGTCTCCTGGAAGAAGGCGGGTCCCAGGCCCTAATTGCTGGTTGTTACATGCCACTATTCACAGTCCTTCAGCAGATTGATTCAGTGGCTAACGCTGATATCATAAATGCCGCAAAGAAGTTTGTTTCTGGCAAAAAATCGATGGCAGCAAGTGGAAATTTGGGACATACACCTTTTGCTGATGAGTTGTAATACTGAAACACACATTACAGGAGAGAGCTGAACATTCTCAGCCCAGAGAAGCAAATACATGAAAGTCAGAAGTCTCTAATATAACATTTGTCTTTTTTCCAGTGAAGTAAAATAAGGCATAAATTCAGGTAATTATTGCCAGCTGACCTAAAGTCAATAAAACATTCTACTTAAGTGTTAAAAAAAAAAAAAGAAGCCACTCAGAATATTTTTAAATATTATGTTTTTTAAAAATTAAAAAGAAAAGGTTAAGTATCAGAGTTAGAACCTGAGCTTAATCATTTCCCTTTTTTTTTTTTGGCGAGGGGGAATAGTGACGCCTCTCTTCCAAATTGGAAAGCAAATCTTCCATTTAAGAACAAAGGCTAATATATAATAATATTATACTATGGTAATACGTATGCATATATTAATATATAAATGGTGATATAAGATATGAATGGTAATATAATAGTTGGATAATATTAGAAGCATGAGGCCAGGCGCGGTGGCTCAAGCCTGTCATCCCAGCACTTTGGGAGGCCGAGGCGGGTGGATCACGAGCTCAAGAGATCAAGACCATCCTGGTCAACATGGTGAAACCCCGTCTCTACTAAAAATACAAAACATTAGCTGGGCATGGTGGCGCGTGCCTGTAATCTCAGCTACTCAGGAGGTTGAGGCAGGAGAATTGCCTGAACCCAGGAGGCGGAGGTTGCAGTGAGCCAAGATTGTGCCATTGCACTCCAGCCTGGGTAACAAGAGTGAAACTCCGTCTCAAAAAAAAAAAAAAAAAAATTAGAAGCATGGCTTTACAGTCAAAGTTCCAAATGTGCATTTGAATCATAAAATTAATATTGCTAATATATATTCACTGAATAATGTGTGAAACGTTTAGGTGATCATGTAGAGAAGGAAAAACATATTTAAATGGTATTTGTATATAGCAAACATGCTTCCATTTTAATTTGAACAATTTCTATAATTTTAAATTACACGTTTGCTGTCAAGTAATAAGATACATTCAAAAACAGATTAACATATGTGCTGCGTAGTGTATAATATTCATTTGGCTTGAATGATGTATTCTTGATTTAAGGAGAGACTGCTAAATATTCCCTGGCCTTAGAAAGGATTTCCTAAACCACCTGAGACATGGTCCTTTTTGAATCAAGAGTACTTAGGATGTATTCTCTGCATTCGTCTGATACTCCAGCCAGCAACATTGACACCTCATTCAGATGCAAGTAGAATCAGACCTAGATCGCTTCAGGGAAAGCACCTATCACTGACATTTGATTGCAAAGATGAACAAAGCTGAAAAACAAATAATCCGCAAGAAAACACAATTCTATTTATATCAGGCCTTCAAGGGAAATCCCTGTAAAACAATGCTGCTCCTGAAGAACACATGCAAAGGGAATGTTGGACCATTGTGGTTGCATTTCTCTACACTGCCTGAGAGTACAATGAAGCTAATAGACAGTGCTCACTAGTGCTGCAAACATGTAAGAGCAATAGAGAAACACATAAACGCAACAACATTCCTTGATCCATTGATGAACCGCAGCTCAGCTCATTTTTCTTTCTTTTTTTTTTTTTTTTTTAGATGAAGTTTTGCTCTGTTGCCAGGCTGGAATTCAATGGGGCCATCTCGGCTCACAGCAACCTCCGCCTCCCCAATTCAGGGGTTTCTTCTGCCTCAGCCTCCCGAGTAGCTGGAGGTGTGTGCCACCATGCCCAGTTAATTTTTATACGTTTAGTAGAGACGGGGTATCACTATATTGGCCAGGCTGGTCTCGAACTTCTGACCTTGTGATCCACCCACCTCAGGTTCCTAAAGTGCTGGAATTACAGACATGAGCCACTGCGCCTGGCCTCATTTTAAAAAACATGTTAAACATTGATATCTTACTTATGCGTGTGTAAAACCCGCTTTAGGAAGGAAGAGCAGAGTTTGAACCTCAGTTCCAGACACAAACATTAACAATTGCATGTGTAAACCAGATGCAGGCAAAGTGCTTGTTTTAGGAAACTCTTGACATTGTCCTTTCCTGCAGGTCCTTCTCAAATAGCTTCAATGAGTATATCCAGGCCAGCCCTAGGAAATGGGGCAGTGTGCATATAGTTTGTATATTTGTTCCTGCCAAATCTTATGTTGAAATTTGGTCCCCATTGTTGGAGGCAGGGCTCGGTAGGAGGTGTTTAGGTCATGGGGATGGATCCCACATAAATGGCTTGGTGCTGTCTTTGCAGTAACAAGTGAATTCTCACTGTATTAATTCTCAAAAGAGTTATAAGATAAAAAAAAAAAAAAAAAAAAAAGTCTGCACTCAGCTCAGTGGCTCACACATATAATCCCAGCACTTTAGGAGGCCAAGGAGAGAGGATCACTTAAACCAACAGTTCGAAGCCAACTTGGGCAACATAGTGAGATCCTGCCTCTATAAAAAAAATAAAAATTGCCGGACATGATGGTGCACACACCTGTGGACCCAGCTACTCAGGAAGCTGAGGTGGGAGGATTGCTTGAGCCCAGGAGGTTGAGGCTGCAGTGAGCCATGATTACACCACTGCATTCCAATCTGGGCAACAGAGTAAGACTGTGCCTTAAAAGGAAAAAACAAAATAACACCTGGTACCTTCCCGCATCTTCTTTCATGTGCTACTTCAAGCTCCCCTTTGTCTTCCATTGTGAGTAAAACTTCCTGAGGCCTTATGGGAAGCAGATGCTGGCACCATGCTTCTTGTACAGCCTGCAAAACCATGAGCCAAATAAACCTCTTTTGTTATAAATTACCCAGCCCAGGAATTCCCTTATAGCAACACAAAGCAGATTAAGACAGAGCAGTTCAACATCTTTAGGTGTTGGAGAAAAATCTCTAGAACCCAAGATACGGACATCCCCGGCTAGTGGAAATGTGGGACAACAAGGACCCTCAGCATACATCCTAATGAATATAGGGCTGTGCTCAAGCACATCTTAAGACTCAATCCGTGAGTTATCTGCACCCCTAACTTTTGTAGAATTCTAATACTCACCCGACTCCCTGATAGAGACCCTGTCTATAACCATCACTGTAGTCTGATAACTTCATTCCCAGAAATGTCAAGTGTTCTGAGATTTCATTTCTAACGCTTTTCTTCCACGGTTTCTCAGCCTCAGAACTCTTGACATTCTGGGCTAGGTAATAGTAAATCTGTGCATTGTATTGACTTTTATCTACTCGACGTCAGCGGGTAAAAGTCCATTTCCTCCCCATTGTGGCAACCAAAAATATCTGGGCAAAATTACCACTTACTGTTCTCACACTGTTCCTGATTCATTTGAGTCTGGTTACCAAACCTTCGAAATAATCTGTCCTTTGTAATCCCTGGCTCTGGACTTGATCCCATGCCCTGTAAATCAAAGTCCAGGAAATTGGGCTTCTTAAAACACTACCACACAGACCCTCCAAAAACACAGACCCTACCAAGACTCTGTACCAATGGGAATTGAGTTGCCATTTCTTTATCTCCTCATCAATGAAGCTTTCAGAAATTCAAGGAAGAGAGAGTCTAAAATTGACAACTTCAGAGACCCACATGGGGGAGGCTGATCTACTGTCTACCCAACCAAGTTCAAGACCCAGGGCTGCAAAATGAGATCATGGACGAACTCTGAAACTGAGCCTTGGTGAAGGAATGTATAGGGAGTTGGATATGTAGGGTTGGGGGCACACACCTGCAATAGTCAGTAGGTCTGGGGACTTGGGGAGATACATTTTAGGTCTACCACAAGCACATGGACATTGTTGAAGTTCTTGCTGCTGCAGGACATGTTATGGAGTATTCTGCTTATCTCTAGATTATAAATTGGAATACTTATGGTGTTTGCTTTCCATGATTTAAAAAGAAATGTTCATGTTGTTGTGAACATTACTTCAGCATTTTACAGATTATAGAAGATCCAACCCAGTGGAAATTCTTAAGCATTTCCTAAAACACAAAGGGATATAGAATTCTCTTTTAACCTCTCCACATGTTTGTTAGAGATATTTTGCTGAAGAGTCTTGAGAAAGCACACTCTATTCTCTCAAGCACTCCTGAATTCTTGGCAGGACGTAAACCTCACTCTCATTCTGGAGGAGTAGACCTGCCTTGATTTGAAGGCTTGCAGTGTCTCAGAAGCCACTGGGGAACTTGAGAACCACAGGAGCTGCTATGAAGTCAGCATGCCTAATAAAAATGAGAAAGACGAGAGGGACTTTGCCTGATGCAGATGCACCTTTAATAATCAAAAAGCATATTTGTAGGGTTTTTAAAATGTTGAGAATAAAATTGCCTTCCTCTGAATTTATGTTGGCTGCGGTTAATCAGGAATTCTGAAAGAAAATTAACTTATTAGAAAAGGTTGCTACAGAAAAATATAGTAAGACTTTTATTTTTGGCTGAAAACATTATTAACAGGACAAACATTATTAAAAGGACCAAGTGCATGTTTGCATATAAGATTAAAATGACTTTTTTAACAACAACCTGTAGTCCAAAGGTTAAAATAAAATTACCTATATCATTTTGTGTTGACTCATATATATGCATCCTGTATGTAATAGAATAATATATAGTGTACTATTATTTTAATATGTAATATCTTACCTATATACTTTTGCACTTGTATTTTCTATATACCTATATTACATGTATATATTATATCTAATATATATTAGATATATAGTATTGTATCCATGCATATTATATATAATATATATCAATATATATATGTGCTGTTGTAATATAAATACAGTATGCTATATTGTATACTTTGTATATAGTATTGTAAATATATGCATATACATTTATAATACACAGTGTACAGATAAATATGTATCTTTGTTTTTATTTATATAATCTTTAGAAGGGTTTATTTTGTGGAGTTATGGTATTGTAGTTTTCATCAAGTTTAGGCTAAGGTACAGAGGAATTTGTCTTTCTTATAGATGTAGGAATGTTTGGTTTTCAAGGTTTTTCATCAATTTTATATCTAATCACTTTTGAATATTGTAACTATAGTCTTTCAGATCAAATTTCCCATTGTGAATGTCTTGATGCCAAGACAGCTCTCCCTTCCATTCATAAAGCCACAGTGGACATTCCTCTTACGTAGTCCTGAAAACATCAAGGTTATTGGTTTTCAAAATATGAGCAGATGATTTTGTAAATTATCTAACATA